TAATGACCTTGAGATTGAACATTTTAACTGTACTACACCACTACTGCTTCAATAATGAAGTCCACAAACCATACTCATTATTTACCTTTTTAAAACTCTCATAAGAAAGAATTAATTCAAGTTGGCCTATCAAATAGAGGTTCAGAATGATGTATTAGACATCCTTACAAAAAAGAATATCAGTAGAGTACTACTGAGATTGCAAGAAGGAAAGCAGAAGAAACACATGACAGAGAAAAATGACATCCTCTATTTTAACAATATATGTAAATATTTAGTCAGTTCCCTGGATTACATTGGTAGAATTCTGAAAAGCTCCTAAAACAAAGGCACTCAGGGGGCCCTGAGGTAATTCATTTTTATGTTGATATTTATTCTCTCTCTTCTTTTTCTTATGTACACCTAAAGACAAGTCCATATATTGCAAACAAAAAAACTGAATCTTGGGCAACCGGCTCTGGACCCCTTCTGTCTCTCTCCCAGATGGAAGCTTTCTTTCTCTCAATAAATATATTCCACTCTTTTAAAAAACTGAATCTTTAATTGTATCTGTAATTATTTTAAGGTGCTAAGACTGCACTTAATTATCCTCTTAACTGAAAGAATATATCATAGAACCTTTGTCAAATTCTCCTTCTTTCTGTTTTAGCCATAGACAACCTATGTCTGCAATTATAGAAAACAAAGTTCCTTTACAAATGGCAAATGACATTTAATTGCTTCTTTGGAATGCAGCATCTTCAGTGTATAAGGAGGGAGGAAAAGGAAAGAGTTCTCCATAATAATGGTCAACATTATTTAATTTCAAATTAATTATTTAAAGTAAGTAACATTTACAGCACTTAATATTTTATACTTTTCATGATTCAGTGTAGACACTACCAAATGATGTGAACAATTAGATTATCAGAGTAACAGCATAAAGGTTACCCTGAATTTTACTTTAGACCTCTTATACATAGTTTTAAAAGTATTAAAATGAGTGTTCCGTATTAAATATAGACTATTGTTTTTCTGATTTCCCCTTACAAAAATGTACTACCAAGAGAACAGAGATCTTTCTTTCGTATACTAACGAATTTCAAACAGTAAGTGTAGTGTCCTACACATAGTTACTGCACATTTTGTAACAAATATTCTCTGCAGGCTAATTTTAGGAATTTAAAACATTATATGTGACATTTGATTACTATAAACTTTATTTAGACTGTATTAAATTTTAAAATATTACTATGAGCTCTCTATCTGTAATAAGAATATGAGCTTGAATATGAGTTACTTAACTCTTCCCTACTTTAAGTTGTTTCTGGTTTTGTCAATTTTCAGCAGTTGACCACAGTAAACAGATTTTCCATTTTAAAAATGGACTACTGTAAGGAAAGCTTATTTTATATGGCTATGTTGTTGTGGTTGAATAAAACAAATAACTCATATAAAATAGTACTTCTGACATAGTAAGAAAATCAAATAGTACTTCTGACATAGTAAGACCTCAATAAATATTACAAACATCACTACATCATGAGGGTTTAAATTACTCTTTAGACCAAAAAAAAAAAACCTTTACCTTGACGTCATGTTCATTAAAAATCAATGAGCTACATTTTATGCAACATTAATAGGATGTAAGAATGGTCTCAGAGTTTAGTAATCCAGGAATAATTTAATTACATGTAAGTACACAGTTTTGGCTATTATTGAATCTTCTGGTGATCTGTTGTTATCAGTAAGATGCTTCACTTTCAAGATGCAAATTATGTATCCTATTTTATTGTTTATAAACATTGAAAGTTGGGATAGATGAGAATATGACTTCCATCTTTTTAGTATGTATATGCAATGGACATTCAAAAATATTTGGACTATAAAATCAAATGCCTCTAAACACAAAGGTTTATACAGTACAATAGTCTCCATTTTCAAAGTGTCCAGTTTGACCACTTAATTTTAATATCTAACTGTTGTGGGAGGTCTCAAATTACCTGGCTAAAATAATAATATTCTCAAGTAAACATTTGGTCAGTTCTTTATCACCTCTTCTGGGTGAATTTTACCATTTATAAATTGTACTTTCTCTAATCCCTTCACTACATGCATGGTGAGGTCAATGTAATTTCTTCGACTGAACCAGTGGTGTGTCTTTAGATAAAAATGGTTCTGTCATAGAAGCTTCAAACCTTTACTTTGCAATGAAAAATATAGCATCCCAATGTTTAAAACAATCTTGGACCTGATATATAATAGGGAATAAGAAACACAACTATAGAATATACTGTAAGTTATAGCAGATTCCCAAAAAAAAAAAAAATCTTTCTATGAGTTTTAATAAAAGTATTACACATTTTCTATTAACTTTTCTATTTTCTTTTTGAAAATCAAAGTTTATTGCAGCACCATCGTGCTTTACTGCACACTCCTATCACTGACTTCTTGTTTTCATCTCTGCATGCGAGGAGTTTAGAAATCACCATACATTCTTACTGCAAATCAAAAGTTGAACAGATTGAAAACAACTCTTTCGCGATCAGTGAGAAAGGTGAGGACATGGGAAAAATCTGTGCCCCCCAAAGTGGAGCATCACAGTTTACAAAGAGAAGACTCATGAGCAGAAAAACTGGAGGAGCCAGTACAGAGTAGGAAACTTCAAAATGCAACTGAGTCGCTGGAGGTTCAGTGCAAACAAGCCTGAGAACTAAAAACCCCTAGGGTATCCAGTCAGGTAAGGGCGGGGAGCATATTTCTGTGCGTTTTATTTCAAGGAGACTATCCAGATTCATGCAGTGGGTATAGAGAAAATTCACATGTGCTTCCTCCAGAAGGAGAGGAGAGATAGGGAGCACTTTGTTTTTAACAAGGTCTGTCTCAGGAAAAATTATTTAACCAGGGTGTAACTGGACTGAGAGAAGGGAAACACCTTTAGGCTTCTTAAAGTAAGAAAGAAAATACCCAATTTCAAACCACTGTAGTCATCCAGTCCCACCTAAAAGGAAGAAAAAACTGAGGAACACTTTAGAATCTCAGAGTCCAGAAGCATAAGCTCACACAAAAAGCTGAGAGCTAGGAGTGGGACTATGGAACATCTCCACTCCCCCAGTCATCCATTACTTGAGTCTCCTCTTATATGTAGTTTCATTTTTGCATCAAACACCTTCTGAAAATACCAAATGAAAACTTCTACAAAAAAGAAACTCACAATCTTTAAATTGCTCATCATTCTGTGTCCTGCTTGTGACACAGATCATCGCTTTGTCCAAAGTATCTATGCTGTTTATATCCTATCCGTCTATTAGTCCCTATTAATGTTTTAGGATCGATTTGAGGGAAACAATACTAAAAATAATAAAATGAGTTATTATACTAATTTAGTAATGCAGGTGCCAATACGCCTACTGGAAAAATTCACAGGTCAGACAAAAAGGATGAGAATAAAAACTAGAAAAGTAGAGAAATTGTACATGGGGGGGAAAAACCTCATAAGCACAAGTGATACTGTGTCAGGAGGCAGGGTACTCCTTGCCCTGAGATACAAGTTGAGATTCTGATATAGACTGTTTCTGTCTGAAAATGTGCATGTGTTGGTGAGAGAGTGAATTAACACGTTTGCAAAGTGAGTGATCCTTACCTGATAACCTATATTTCTGTTGTAATTTGGAAACGGGCCCCTGTATCCAGAGTGTAATGAAGATAGATGGGAGATCTGAGGGAAGATGAGCGAGTTGGAAGGGCTCAGACAACCGGGAGATATACCAGGACTGCTGGACAATATTATGCACTTAAAAAAAACTGATAACACATTTTACTGCAAAATTGCTGTGGGAAGTTCAGTGATTTTTTTTAAATTGTTTGTAATTCAGCAATGATTTTAAAATACACATTTAAAAAAATTTTTTGTTTATGCTGTTTCCTTAAGAAGATTGATGAGATACAATCTAGCCCCTGGATAATAATCTTAGTTAATATAATAAAATCCCAATTATTTCATACTACAGGAAATTTTTCTAAAACTGGTTAATTATCCAGTAACTAGTTCATTTTTATACTCTTTTTAAAATTTTACAGTTGTAAAACTTTCAGAGAAAAATGGAGAGAAATTCCCCATACACCTCCTGCCCCAACACATGTACAGCCCCGCCTTACCAGCACTCCCACCAGAGAAGCACAGTCACTGCAGTGACAAAGCTACAGGAACACTTTGTCATTCAAAATCCATGGTTTACTTTAGGGTTCACTGTGGTGTGCTATCGTTGATGGATTTGGAAAAATCACTAATGAACTGAAACTACCAATACAGTATCATACAGAAAATCTTACAACTTTGTAAGTCCCTTGTGTTTGAGTTGTTTGTCATGTCCCTGCCTCCAGCTTCTGCCTCTCACCAACCTCAGAGTTTTTCTTTCTTCAGAAGATCCTATAGTGGGAATTATATAATGTATAGCCTTTTCATACTGTTTTTTTTTCAACTAGTAATATATATTTAAGCTTCTTCCATTTTTTTGTGTGTGTCTTTTAGAGTTAATTACATTATGTTTTCTGGACATGCCACAGTTTACCTGTCCATTTATCTCTGAAGGATATCCTGATTTCTTCCATGTTTGAGTAATTATGAGTGAAAAATACAGACAGACAGATAGATAAGATAGAATTAACAAAATATTATTAATGTACTAAAGTATAATAGTAGGCCAGGTATCAAGAAAGCTTAAGTATCTCATGTAGCCAGGAACCTTAGTAGACCATAGTACAAAATGATTTCAAAAACAAATCAGATAAAGCCTTATAGCTCTATGAATCTTGCTTCATTTATATGGATTTTTCCAAATACCACACAACAAATACAAGTAAAAGCATTTCCTCATTGTAATATTGGCTCCCATATGAACTATGTTCAGAATCCAAGCTCAATGCCAGGAGCAAACAACTCAAAACAAGAAAAAAAGAAAGAAAGAAAATAAATCAAAATCAAAACACCTTTTACTAAATGTTAAATCAAATAAACACACCTTGCGTTGTGTCCTTGATGCTGCCAAGTCTGAACCTTGGGGAGCTGCCAAGGGGGAAGATGTTTCCAAAACCAAGTACTTCACCAAAGCAGCTGGGCTTGCATTCCTGGCATATTCATTTCCAGATGCCAGAAAGAATATTCCTGGTTGTTGCTGCTACTGGAATTCAAAATAGAGTACATGGAAATATTAAATGGGAGATCTTCAGTTCCTTAATTGTCTACAAAATAGAGTTATAGTGAAAGCATTTCTAAAAGGTTCTTGGCCCAAAGTTTTCAAATTTGGAATATACTTGGAAAATCTCAGTGACAGAGCTCTTACCTAGCATGCATTAGGCCCTAGGTTTGATCTATAGCACATATATATATGCCTGTAATATTGCATATGATATACATTGTATATGGTAGTGTATATAGAATATAATTTTATATGTAAGTATATATGTATTTGGGAAATACTATACTTTATGCCCATTTTCCTTAGGCTTAATCCCACAATAAGGACTCTGAGAACTTGTGTAATAGAAAAATCTACTAAAATTTACGTTAACCAACATGTTCCAAAAGTTTATCTAAGAAGTAGCAGAAAGTGTCTCCACTGTGTTGTAGATGTAAATATAAATAAAGAAAATCTAATTTGAAATTATTTTCTGTTTTATCACTTTAGGACTTACAAAAACTATTGTATTTACTCAATCATCAACTTTTAAGTAAGTATATAACTTTCTAAACACCCACTAAAAATTAACAAAGAACCATAATCAATTAATAAATGCATTAATTTATTCAACTTTATTCAATAAATATTTACCAAATACATAAGATGTGCCAAACACTGAATTTTTCTTCAGTTTTACATCGCAATTGAGCTCAAATGGATAACAGTATGAAATTTAAATAGTTCCAAACTGCTGTTCGGTAATAATACCAGCACAAAATTTAACCCCAAGTATTTGAGAATACAAAGTTTAGTAATCATAAGAAGATCATTAAAAATAGCTTGTTTAAATACTAATTCTCAGAACCTGTGAATAAATTACCTTATGTGGCTGGAGGGACTTTGCTGAGTGATTAAATAAGAACCATCAAACATAAAGATTTACCTGGATTATCTAAATATGTCTTTAAAAAGTGGATGCCCAAGGAAACAGAATACAGAAGAATGGTGAGAATGTTGCTGGCTTTGAAGGTGAAAAAAGAAGACCATAGACTACAGAATATGAGTAACCTCTAAAAACTGGAAAGGCAAGGAACCCTTCTCTCCCTAGGGAATGCAGTCACACCAGTACCTTGATTTATGCCCAAGGACTAAGTCAGATTGCTCTAAACTATAGAATTAAAAACAAAACAAAAAACTGTTGTTTCAAGCCCCTAAATTTATAGTAATGTCAAAGAAAATACAAAATAAAAAAATTTGCTCTTGTATTTTCAATTTCTTTATCTTTTTGTTATCCTTTATCATATTCCTATTGTTAATTTATCACTATGTCACTTCATTCACTTAAATGGAATTCTCTCTTGTTCACAGAGACCATGTATTCTTGACAGTGCTAGCAATGAAAGAATTCACTAAAATGTGCTTTACCTGAAAATTCTGTTGAGATTTTCATACATGTGCCTGTGAGTCTTCTGCTGGTTTCTATTTACTTGATTTGGGGGGATGTTTCATTCTATTTGATTTATTTTCAAATGCTAAATTTATCCAAAATACTTAGGCATTTAAAGCAAGCATTACAGATAATTTCAACTCTGTCCAAAGTTTTCCAAGTATGTTTTTAGAACAGACAGGTGTGGAAGAATGGAAAACAAAGAAGACCTCCTATGACAGTGATAGCAAACACTTTAGAAGCAAATGCTCAATTTGTAATCCCAAACCCACTAATTTATAGCAAAGCACCAACACAGCAATTAAGCCTAAATACCACGGTTTTAGTTTAGAAAAAAAAAAATCGTACATTAGTACCTTTTGTCTTAAAAGATAAACAAATAGCACAAATGCCATAGGTTTGCGACCACTGGCCTAGAAACAGACAAAACAGAATCAAAGAAACTGATTATAAATACCCACTCTGATATGGTTTGTGTCTGGATGTTCAAACCTCTGCACTCACAAGTGGCTGGCCTAGAGTATCTGAGTATGTATTAAGGGTGTGATACTGGGATTAAGGGTGTGGATAATGGATATTCCACTTTGGACATGGGTGGCACCAGTTAATAGGTTGTGACATGAATGGAATATAAAGGGACAGAAAGAAAGCAGGTTTGCTTCTGCCTATCATGCCATAAACTGTTCCTCCTGTGTGAAGACCTTCTACCATGCCACTGGGATTTGGAACCAACTGAATATGGTTTGAAACCTCTACAAACTGTCAGCAAAATAAAACATTTCCTCCTTTAATTTGTTGCAGTTGGGTAGACTGTTGTAGCAATGAGAACAGTAACTAAGAAACACCCTTAAAAATGATGTATCCTTGCACAAAGAAATTTAGTGCTATTTAAATCACCATAAGAGGAATGTATTATGATTTTTTAAACATAAGGTTCAAAAAATGGTAAAGAAACACAAATCAACACATTCTACATAGATAAGGAACTTGATGACTGGAAATGTTATAAAACCCATTAAAGTTTAGCTCTAGATCCAAGTCTAAAACATTCCATTCAGGGCACCTTTCAGCTTCTGTAGTTACAAGATGGCACCTAAAATTAGGACCTTGCCTCAGGTACCTACATAATTTATCATTTTAAACATTACGATGTCTGAGTATTTTTAATATTCAAAGTATGCAAAAACACATGTTCTTTGAATTAGATAATCTTTCTTTTGTCTTTGTTAAAATTGTAAGTTGTTTAGTCTAACCAGCATGCTATTTTTACAATTATGTCACCACATAATAATATTATAGAAAAACTAACCTACTTTTTTCTTGTTACTATTTTCCATAGTCAGTAGCTTAAAAGCCATGAAATTTAAAAGCATTCATCATTTACAGAATCACCTTTATATTATGATTTAACAAAACAGTTTGCTAGTCATATGGGTATGAAATATTTATCTTTCTATTGTTTTTTAATATTTCAAAATTATGAAGAAACCATTTCTTTTTCATGGATACATGCCTATTTCACTTACAAATACCAAAAAGATTGTATTTTAAGCCATATTTTTAAAGACCTTCAAAGAGCCAAACCTATTGAAATAAAAAATAAGGGCACAAGTGCATGATAACTAGGAGAAATATAATCTAGTTTCATGTTCCTACGTAGAGTAATTTCCACTGGAGCAGTGCCTCTTGTTAGAGATGCCTTGTGCTACTGAAGTGAGAAAAGAAAATACTTCAGAAGGGGTGTGGATCTCTACATTACCCAATATTTTGCCTCCTTACAATTCAATGTGCTCAAAGCCAGTAATATCTACAGGAAAGGTATTGTAATAACTTAAAAATACTCCCATATATTTCAAATCTCCCAGAGGTATCACCCACGAGGGAAAATCAGAACACTAGTTAACAGTTTTGGCCTAATATCTCATTCCTTGTTCATAGCTTCCCAACAGGTGTTATCTGAATTGTGACTTATTAAATCAACAGGTCTACATTAGTCCAGTGATAGAACTACCTTGGACCATACACAATAGTAATTCTGGAAAAATGAATCTGTTCTGCAAGCTGAAATTTTTTTTTTTCCTAACTAGATTAAAGTCTAGGTTGTGGAAAAGAAAGGTGTGAAAAAGTAAAGGGGAGTAGGAAGCAGGAGAACTCACTTTTTGGTCTCCTATCTAAAGTTTATTAATAGAAATCAACAATCTGTTAGTAACAAATTTACATTGTAAAGTCCAAGTGTCTGTTTACAACTCAAAACAAAAAGGATAGTGCTAATAATACCAGGCGACTAAAGTCTCTAAATCCATTGTAATGCTCTTCCTAATCCATTTTTGTTTGTTTTTTCTGTGAGAAATGAAGAGAGATTGAGGAGCAAAAAGTGGGAGAGTAAAATACTAGAATTTAAATTGCAAGTGCTAAGGCAAAAAATGGGCTCCTATATACTCATGTCTTTATTTGTCTTTTTGAGACAGGGTTTCACTATGCGGTTCAGGCTGGCTTTGAATGCACTTTGTAGCCCTGGCTTGCCTGCAACTCACAGCGACCCTCCTGCCTCAGCCGCCCTCCCAAGTGCTGGTCTTACAAGTCATGCTCCACCACACCTCGCTATTCGTCTGTTTATTATAAAAGAAATAGATGGTTCCCTCTTCAAATTTTCTTTATTCAATAACATACTGAGTATCTACAGCCAATCCCATCTTTCATTGGTAATGTAAGCAAAGAAAATAATGACCTCTATTTGAATGCAGAAATCAGAAAATGCGTCACAGTGAAATAATTGCAATAATTTTATAGTTACCAAAAATTACAGTACAAGATTTTTCACTTAAACTGAAAAACAGTCCTAGGAATCAGATAATGGTACTGCTTTCTTTGTGCAAAACAGACTTTTATAGATGAGAAAATTATATATTTCATGTTTATCTCAAAAATATAATTTAGTATTTTCCTAAAATAGTAAATTCTCCTTTTACTTGCATAGAGATCAGAACCTGCTTCAAGGACATTTGGAATGAAATACAGCTTATATAGTTTTGAGACAGAGCAATAAGTTATTGCACTTTGGTAGTTCCTGTTCATTAACTGTTAAAAATTAGATGTGGTAAGGATGACCCTGAACTGTAAACTATGGTGTGAGGCATTAGAGAAAGACAAAAACCCAGCTCCAAATGAAGACGTATATTAAATGTCTCTGGGATGAAGCACAGGGCAAATAGTAACTTTTCCATCTCTAAAGAAGTTGAAAAACAAGTGTTTTTAATCTGGCACCAACTTAAGACTCTGAATTGTGCCTTTGCTAAGATACTAAGTGGCTTCTTTTAACTTCTCAAAATTGTATATGACACCAAAAAAAAGTCATTATTGGATTAGAAACAGGTTTCCTAATCCTTCAAGGCTAAATACATACTAACAACAAACAAACAAACAAACAAACAGAAAACTAGTGATGTTAAAGAACAAGAATGCCACATGAAACATTTCAAGTGTTGCCCAGTCAGAACCAACACTGAATCAACAATGGCTAGGTGAATGGATTTATTCGTTTTTAAAATCAAAAGGAAGAAAAAGAAGAGGAGGAGAAGAAGGAAGAAGAGAAAGAAAAAGAAAACTTGAAAATAAACTGAGCAATGCTTTTACAAGTTCAGATAATATAGACAGAAGGATTAAAAAGTGTAATCTATAACATTCTGTACCTGTGCAGATCACTATTTTAACTGTACTTTGAAATTAACTATTCTTCCTTTTCAGGAAGAAGGGCACATACTAGGAGCCCCACTTTACAGACTAGAAAGAGTGTTGAGGGATCTTGTCCAAGGACAACTAGTCTTCCCAGTTTCCTGATGTGTAGCCCAGCACTGCAGAGGGTTAATAAGCAGCACAAGCTTCCTTCCTGAGGATTTACACTGTAAACCTTGCACAGGGAAGTCCAAGTAGCCTTTTGGCCTGTGTTTTCTCGCTGGAATGTTTGCTCTCGTGTATGATTTGGGGCCAAATGATATGAGTGAACCAAGGGATAGATTTGAAATATTTATCTGTGGGGTTCAGGGATATAGCTCAGCAGCACAGCCACCTGCCTGGCAAGTGTGTGGTAGTGAGTTCAAGTCCCCTTACAAAAAAATTATATATATATATATATATATATATATATATATATTCCATGTTGATAGTTAAATGTCTTAGTTGATTATTAAATATGCACCCAGGAGGGGGAAAGTTTGAAGGTTTGGCAAGTAGGGACTGAAAGGAGTATCATACATATTGGAGTTTCTCCAGTAATGAATTGCCCTCACTTCCTGAGGAAGTGCATTGAGCTCAAACAGGAAAGGGCAGCAAAAAGAAAAAGAACTCCAAAAGTAAAAGACCAGATCTCCCAGCCTTCTCTTACTAGTCATCCACGTGGACACAAACATCTCGCAGGTTCAGGGATTCGCCAAGCACTAAGGAAAGGGAATCTTATTCCTCCACCACCACACCACCAATAAATTCACTCTTCTCTGCAAATATTTTTGGTCTATTAGTACTTTACCATTAATAAATAGAAACAAAAAATAGTGAAGAGCAGTAACACAGGAAAGAAAGGTCAGAGGGTGAAACGCAGACTAGCTGAGAGAAGAATATGCAGTAACTAAAGAGCCCAAGTTAACTGACAGTACAAGGGAGCCAATCCCTCGCCCAGAGGAAGCTTTAGCGGAGTGGGCGGGTCTAAGGCTCCTGCCCCAGACTGGCGCCTGACACGCTGGCTGGGCGGGAACCTAGCGTTCCTTAGCAACGCGGAGGCCGCGCCCACTCTGCGGCCCACCTGGGCCGGCCACTACCCCACAGCCCCAAGACTAGGGCCTGCGCCGAGCTGGGAGCCCCTAAGTGATCACTGCACCTGCGGAGTTTCCGAGCCCCGGTTCCTCTGGCGGAGCCTCCCTCCACCCAGACCGCCCCGAAGCCCCTCCCAGGGGCGGACTGGTGCGCTCCCTAGCGCTCCGGGGGCTCCTTAAGGAGATTCGCGCGTTTTCAGTTTAGCACCCCAAGATGTCTGCGCAGGTCGCCCTAGTTCCCTCGCCCTCGCCAGACACACGCACACACCTCAGTTCAACCAAGGCAAGGGCCGACAAACTTCGTGTCCGGCTGGGAATGTTGCTGTCCACGGTCCTGTCACTCAGAGGCAGGGGCGGTACGAGTCAGATGCACACCCCCCTTCCCCAAGGGCGGTATGAAAGGGGCGTGGTCAGGACAGCGGGGCGGGGCCAACCATAAATATACTCTCTGATTGGTTGATTACTCTCCCGCCTCTGCGCGGAGCTGGGGCGCAAAAGCGCTGGCCCAGTGGCATTCTGCTTCATTTTGACTCAAGTCCTAAACTCTGATATTGTCCAGCAAGGTGACTGTAGAAATTAAAAGACCTGTAACTTGATTAAAAATTTGAAACGCAATAAATGTTATTTTGACTATTGATGCATACATATCCAACATACACAATTAGTGTTTGAAATCCATTCTCTAGTTTCCCAAATTGAAAGTCTCAACTGAAAACAACGTGCAGATGACAGATTCAAGCAGCAAAAAAAATGTTTATTCATAGTATTAAATTTAACAGGAGCAAATCAGCTTACAGAAGGTGATTAATAAATAAATATTATTTAGTCTTATATATATAAAATATTATTTAGTTGTTCGCTCTGGAGGCCATTTCGGTTACTTTTCACATCTACAAAATAGAAATGAAATATGAAGATGTTATTATTTGGAAGTCACATGATAATTGAATTCTGTGTACGTGATGCTTATATAATCCTTGGAAAATCAGCTAAGATGTTAAGATATGAATCTCAGCTTATGAATAATGAAACACAAACTAGGAAAGGATACATCTATTTAAGCATTCAACAAACATGTCTGTAGTCATTTTTAAGCTGAATTTAAAATTCCTTTAAAAATCTGTGCAACTTTCAGTTCAATGTTCTTCTTGAAATATTAAGTCCCCTTTCCCTGGCTAGCCCATCATCTTTGAAAAGCTCGTAAAAAAAAATTGCATACAAAATAAGGAAGGGAGGAGGGAGAGAAAAAGGGAATGGAAAAAAGGCGGGAAAGAAGAAAAAAGTGAAAGGAGTGTAAATAGACTAACCAGAATGTTCCGAAATCTCTCAGGATAGAGCCAGGAGTTAAATCCAAAACGTAATTTTATTTTCTGCCCTCTCAAATTATTTTCCTGTCTCCAGTTTGTCTCCCAGAAATAAAGGTACAGTTGTGTAAGATTATATAAATTCTCTCAGCCAGAATTTTCATGGATTTGGCTTTAAATTGAGGAAATTTTTTTTTTCTACGTTAAACCAAGATCAAGAAGTGTATATGTTGTCAGAAATAGTAACAGTAAGAATGTAACCAATAAGACCCCTGGGCACATGTTTTGAAATTCTTCAAACGTGCATATCATGTTGTGATAAAGTTGTTGGAATAAAAGAAACACCTGCCAGTTACAAACAATTTTTATGTTCCTGCCTTGCCGAATAATCAAATTCTGCTGAAAGACTGCTACCTATGAATAACTATACAAGACTCCTTTGATTGTATGACTTAGGTTTCTTTAATCTTGAAAATATTTGGCTTTAGTATGCAGAGAAAAAGTTGACTGTGTATTAATAAGTATATTATATAAATAAGCACTTTTAGGTTTAAATAAACATGGCAAATTTATCTGAATACTTTTTCAAATGAGTGCTCAGGTAAGTATAGCAAATGCATTTGTCTGGGTAGCCTTACACATATAAAGTATCATGCATTTAAGTAAATGTATTATATGCATGTAAATATGTAAGCATTGAAATAAACACAGCTGTATATTCCAGATATGTATAGCTCCAGATGTTTGAAGCATTTATTCAAATTTCTGAAACTCTACACCTTGATATCTAGTTGCATGCATGGTAGAAATACTGTGCTACAAATGCACAGGAATGAATTTTAAAATGATATGCACTATGAGGAAATAAGATGAAAGCAGCAAATGATGAGTTTCTATCATTGAATTTGTTACTATAAGCATATCCTTACAAGATGTCCTTGTTCTAGTTATTCCACAAACATTTTATAAATGGTGAGATGCCAACTTACCCAGTATGACTATAACTACCACCAAGCAGGCATGCAAATGTGGCTCACTTTTGAGCTCCATTTCTAATTAGTTTTCAATACTCCTCACATTTGGAATAGGAGAATTTCATGCCAACCACACCTCAGTTACTTATTTTGCACCACATGGTTCTGCTTAAAACTTTAGAATATGCATACTTTGAAGTTCCTCCACAGGTACAGATATATATTAGAAAAAATTATGAAGAATAAATAAAACCAATACAGACGTACATTTGGAGATACTGAACAAGAAGTTAACGGCTTAGTGTAAAATTAAAATATTCACATATATGTTAGAATATGTTTATTGCTTTACAATGTATGACACATTTTATTTGAGTTTTATTTGTATCAAGTTAAAATATATACTAGAATCTAGTAATGATACATACCAGCACCTTTGGCCAATATGAATGTATACATAATGAAATTAGAGAAAAGCAATTTTATTCATTACACATACTTCTTTTAGTAATTATGAAGTTTATCTCTAAAAATTATGATTATGATAAAATACAGTCTATTAAATATATTAAAGTGATAAATATAGCATGCAATTAATCTTGTTCAAAAATCTTTTAAATTTTAATAGCTGAATTATAAAACTTATTCCCTCTAAGCAGCTATAATTAACTATTTGATATGTCTTTATAATCACCTAGGAAAAAAATCATAGAAATATTTAGGGTAAAGTTTATTGAAATTATTTAAAGAAATGATTTCTCATTTGAATATATATGGTATTCTCTGTGATCCCCAAAGTGCATGCTTGAAAGTCACAGTTTTTACTTAAAGTACTACATTTAAACCACTTAATAAAAACCGGAAAATGAATTTGCTATTTCAAATAAAAGCTTCTTTTTTAAAAATCAAAAAATTAATGAACCATAAAAATAATTTCCACTGACTTGTAAAATACTTGAAATTATAGCTACATAGTACACATATGAAATGTACTTCATGGAATATATTTACCTACATTATGAAATGGATTATAAAAATGATTGTCATTTCAATGACCAAAAGCAAGACTGTCTCTGAAATCTAGAAAAAATTACTGTATGTGATATATTCTAAAGATATAAAAACAGAATTTTTTTGTGTCACAAAAGTGCAAATATTTTGAAGATACAATTTTAAACATGTAACTGCCAGCTTTTCTTTAACAAATGACATGTTTATAAAAGACATCATGTAGCCAGTTGAAAATGTTTACATTGACTGTTGTTCGGTTTATTAAACATTGACTATATATCAATAGCTTAAAAACATTTCTGAAATCATGATGGTTCACATAGTAATTTACAGGGAGCATTTTCCCCCATCCTAATGTCTCTAGAGTGACTCAGTAATTCAAAGTGCTTTGATTTTAGCTGCTTCCTTCCCTGCACAATCTTCATACCAGCAGCTGCAGGTTTGCATAGGAGCTTTTCATGGCCACGGGTCAAAACTGGGACATGTGAATGATCTGGGAGATACTTCTGTCATTCAGTATTATTGCTAAGATTCATAAACACGATATCTGTTTAATGTAACCTTTCTAAGAGCAGTTTCCTTATGCTCCTTTATATTACCCTCCAGTTTCTCTCAAAATCTCCAGCTCTCCTTATTATAGGTGGTTAGACACTTATGATACTTGTACAAAGAGTTTTTTGATTGAATGGATAGTTGTGCCTAGCTCTGAGTAATTTGTTTGCAAATATTCTACTGTTTGTATACATCATACTTCATATATCTGTTCTCCTGTGACACACTCTTACTGATTTCTTCTGTAGCAAATAGTATTATAAACACATGAACTTCCTGGTGCAGATTTGCCAGATTTTCTCTGTGGTTTATAATTAATAGAAAATCACAAAAGTTTGCAGAGCATGTCTATACTTTAAGGAAAAATAAAATGCCAAATTGTTTTCCCAAAATATTGTACTAGTTGCCGTTCTCACAGAAAGCTTTATGAGATTCAAATGCATTAATCCTTTTAGAAAATCAAATTTGGTTTTAATCACTTATTTGGTTTTTATTTCATTGTTTTATATTCTTCATTATTATTTTAGCCACTGATTTAATTGTCTTATCTTGCTATTTCTGTAAATTAGAAAAATGTAGTGATTTAAGTTTATTCTTTACTTACATAAGACATTTAGAAAGTTAGCTCTAAGAACTGCTTTCATTACATTCTACAAATTTTCATACGTACTGTAGTACTTGAATTCACTTCAGATATTTAAATTTCTTTCTTTACATTTTTCTTTTATCATTGGGTTGTATATTTAGAATTACAGGTTTAGTTTCCAAGTACTTGAGAGATTTCTAGTATTTTATCATTATTAAATTTTAATGTAATTATACTGTAGTTAGGAAACATTTTCAATATTTTCAACATTTTGAAAATTATTGAGATTTATAATTCAGCATAGTTTATCTTGATGCTGCTTACCTGTGTACTTAAAAAAATATATCTTTTCAATTGTTGAACATAGTATGCTATGGATGTCTGTTATAGTCTATATTCTATTGATGTTTTTAGCGCATTCTATCATTATTGAAAAATAAGTGTTAAATCTCCAACCATGCCCTTGCATTTCTTTATATTTCTAATTATGTTAATTCTTATTTAATTTATTTTGACATCTTGCTATTAGAAACATACATTTAAGATTGCTATGGCTTCCTAATGAATCAAAACCTTTATCATTATGAAATTTTTGTTTTCTTTTTAATCTCTAGCAATATTATTTATCTCAATATGTACTTTCCTGGTATTTATAAAGTTAGACTAAGATTCTTGGGCTTACTGTATCTATCAGATCATATTTATTTTAAGCTATCTGTCATTGTATTTCAACCTATTTCTTGTGGAGAACATATTGTTGACTTCGCTTTTTTTCTAACCTGACAGTTTTACTTTGCTATCTAAATGTTTATTTCATTTATACTTAAGGTAATTATTCATGTGGAAGGTTAGAGTTATTCTATATGTTTCATTTTTCTATGTATTTTTTATTTTTAAATTCCATTATTTTCTTCTGTTTATCATTTCCTTTTTCAGTTTGGTTTAGTCTCCCTTAGCTTCATTTTTA